GGGGGGGTAGTGTGCTGCAGAGCACGGAGGGGGAGAGGCTCCGGGAGAGGCTTTCAGAATACGGTCTCTAGTTACACAGTTGAACCGGAAAACGGCCCGCGAGGGGCGCGCCAGGCTCGTCGTGGCCGAACATAGTGGCTGGGTGAAAATAAAGCCTGCTGTTTTCGAATACACGACGCCTTTCGCAGCACGCAGCACGGCGCCTACATGTCGATACGCAAGGTTTTTGATATGCTTTTCGGAACGCGCGACGGGTATCGAGCGACTCGCAGAGTCTATGCGGCAGGTGTAAGTCGGCGAGTCTCGCGATCACTTAGTTTACAAAAGATACACATCATCACTTTCGCTCGTCTTTGGACTGACAGTTGACGGTGTAGCCGGCAGACGAGGCGCGGGGCAAAGGGCGGCTGTCAAAACGCTACGCGCCACAGGGTACAGTATGAGAACAAAGAGAAGCCCCGCCCCGCCCCGCCCCGCCCCGCACCGCAGCAGGAGACACGGTGGTTAATTGGATCAGCCATAGAGGCCATAACACAGCCAGCCAGGCGGCCGGCCGGCCGGCTGGCCCTGGCAGAGCTGGCAGCCGCCGCCCCACCGCCGCCGCTGGAAAAGGGGCAGTCAGTGAATTATACGGAGTTGGATGCAGGAAAACTGAATAATTGTGGAGAATCGCACTAACTGTAGAACGTCTCCTAAGGCTTTCTTGGCATTAGACAGGAAACGGGAGCTTTCTCCATGCTTTCGAATGAAAGATAACTGTTAAGACAGTTCCAATAAGCGGATGTCTCCACCCGAAGGTAAAACGTTTCTTGTTTTGATATGATTGGTAAGATTTGATACGTTTTGATAAAGAATGCCGGAGGCTTTTTACGTAATTACAAATAATTCCTGAGTAAGCGGAGCCGGAAACACTTGTAGGACATTGTGTGCTGACATAAACAAAATTACACAATCCTTCACACACGAAACTAGTACGTCAAAAACACGAACGGCTACTTCAAACGATTTTTTTATTTTTTAGAAAATTTCTACCATACAGGTGGCTTACTAGACATCGCGGGGAAAGCGGGGGAGGGGGGGGGTTGTACCGCGCCTGCTCGAAGCCACCACTGGTTGCTTTGTAATCACGAAGCTTCCGTTTCCTTCACATTAACCTACGGCGACGCAATGCTTTTCAGGCTTTTAAAAATGCACTTCTACTCGTGTTTC